ATCAGGGAGAAATAAAAAAGACAATAAATCAGTCTGTCAAAGGGGCTGTATCGAAGAGTGGGAACAGCTTTATACAATGTTTGTCTAGTCGATAGCATCATTTACTGTACAAATAACCATCTATGTGAACTTTTTATTGCTTTCCACACACATTTTCCAAAGCTGGCAAGTGTGTTTACGTATCTATAAACCATTCCACAAATACTGCTCTCAAGCTGCCCGTGTGTCAGAATTATAAATGCACCCTATTACAAGTTTATTTGTGAAATTATCCATATGAACCTAAAGTTATCTGTCTAGCTTTGTTGCTTATTTTTTGACAGTTATAAATGTGTAGATCATTTTATTTCCTCAGTACCGTTTCAATTTTCATGTTTTTCTTTTTAGGCAGAGGGAATTGCCGGCGTGTCATGTAGTGCACCCTACTGGCCAGATACAACTTCACCAAGTTTGAGGGTCTTGCTGGCTTAAGTAGGTTGAAATACTTCATATTCCTCTGCTGTGCTAGAAAATGCAGTTTTCTGTAAATTAATGCAGGTTTAGAGAAGGGATTTGAACCAGGCTGCTTATGGAATCGCATTACCAACAAGGCTGTGAGCTGTTCAGGATACTCCTCTTTCTCTCTCTCCTTTTTTTTTGTAAACCCTTCCCTCTGAGTTTCTCTCTTTCTCTCTCAGTTTCTCTAGCTATTGTAACATACCTCACTTTCCCACTTCACCTCCCCAAATTTAAAAGACTTGCCTTTTCTTGGTCTTGGTTTATTGCCTAGATCAGAATTATACATTTGGAAATCTTGTTTATTTTTTAAAAATGACTAGTTTGCTCATGATGATAAGACCTCCCTTAAAAATAGATTTCACTAGGCGAAAAAGGCTTAAAAATTTCAAGCCTATTGTTAGGAAGAAGCTATTAAATTATCTCAAAAACTTCTTAATTGTAGATTCTTTTTTAATTTAAAACATATAAATCAGTTCTTCAAATCCAAACTTTTGTGCCTGCTGTTCAAGGGAGACAGGGTTCAGGATCTTTGAGCCTAAGTTTTTTTGGTGATCCAAGGAAAAAAAATCATTTTCTCGAAATCCATTACTATAAATGTGCATACTCTAACAAATGTCTTAACTGGTCTCTAACAAATCTCTTAAGTGGTGTCCAGAAAATAATATGAAAGCAGTGGTGGCACTTTAATATAAACCAACTATTTTGAATGGCAAATACCAAATACTGCTGAACTGAGATCAGCGTGTTAGTCATGTTCTTTCCAGTTAGTTCATTTGCATTTAACGTTACAGCTCTCCCATAAGGAGCAGAGAGATGCCAGAATCTGCTTTTTAGGGCTGCGTAAGTGTGGGACCAGAGCTTTGCTGGTATGGGGCTATTCTGTCAATGCCACAGCTGTAGTCTGACACTAAAAGAAGCATAAGTGCTTCAGAAATAGCTTCCCTATGAAAGGTGGATGGTACTTTAGTTTTTGCAGAGTTAGTATCAATCCTTGCATTGCACTGGCACTCCTACCTGCTGTTAGCATAGTGGGAAATGGAACGGGGGCTGCAAAAGGCAGAAATAACAGATGTGTCCTTCAGATACAGTGATGCTTTGTTGGAGTTTTGCTCCCCGATCCTGAGGGCTCATCGGTTGCTTTATGGCAGCCTAATATACTTCACACCATGACTGGGTTTTTTTGGACACTTGAGAGATGTGCGTCAGTATCAGGAAAACCACAGGAGTAAATCTTTGCAAGAATGTTATCCTTTGAACGCAAAGGGATGTTTTTGAATGTCGTCGTAAATAAATAAGGAAAATTGCATATTGGAAGGATCCATAACAAACACTTTAAAGAACAGACTTATTTTGAGTTTTTGCTGATGTTGTATGAAGTAGTCAGACTTCATGACTTGTTGAAAGTGCCTTGTTGAAGATTCTGCCCTCAAAGTAATCTTCATGGTAGAATGAATGTGAATAGCCAAGGTGTAGTGATACTTCCTAAGCTTATATTTTGGTATCTGCCTTGGTAAAGACATACCTACTTCTTTTTGCATCTCAGAAAGATATGGTGATGCTTCCAAGGGGAATTAGGGGGTCCTTGGTTCGATCTTTCTGCTGAACTTTAGTTTGGTTAATTATTTCAACTTCATTTAATAAGATGCGTTATTCTTCATTTCCTGTCCTAACATGCAATGCAGAGTTCACATAACACCACATAAACAGTTGCGTTTCATACTAGAGGTAGACATGCCTTTGGAGCCTTTAAGGTGGAGAGTATTATATATGTATAAAATGATATCACCTGCTCAGTAAAACTTTAAACAGAATAATAACAATAATTAAGAAAAATAATAGCAAATGTCTATACTTAGAATTTTCTACTGTGTTACTTCTCATTAAAGGGATAAATGTTGTCAGAGTGGGGAAGCTCTGAAAATAGAGAGCGGATTGTTTCCACTGGTCAAACTTGGGAGTGGCTTTTCTGATGAATAACATAAGCTAATGATCTCAATTTGGTTTTGACTCATGAGCAACGATACTGAATGATGATATTGCTATAGCTGAGGTCACAGTTTCTTAGCTTCAGATTTAATGTTTTTATATCCCATGACTTTGACCAATGTTGGCAGGTATGATGGGTAGTGTGTTGCTTGCTCTCCAGGGCTGGAGATCAACTTATAAGCAACTTCTTTTGCTGCTCTCACTCAACATTGGGTGTAAGAAGGAAAAGTGAATATATGATGGCTTAAATTTGCTTTTAGTGTTTGCCAGGATGTAACTGGAAAATATTTGCAAATTAAAAAAGGGAAAATGTCTAGTTTTGGTAGAAAGTTGGCCTGACTGCACCTTCAGCAAAAATAACCCAATACATGTGGGCAAAGCACAGAACAAGTGGCTACTTACGCACAAACATGTTTTAGAAATTGTGCTGGTAATTACCACATTAATCTTTCTGATGCCATAGTTAAGCAGCATTATTTGATGCCCTCCCCTCATATCTCATGCAGCTGTGTGCTAGACAGCCGACCCAAACAGAACGAAATGGAGCCGCTTAAAATGGTAAATGTAGTTACCTATCCAGTGCCAGGGTAACACCTTAAACCTGGATGGCTTCAGCGGGTTTTCAAATAACTGCACCCAGTTTCTTTGTTAGTATGGACTCTTCTAGCATTTTAACTTAGAACTTGCCAGCCCAGGCAGTCTGAGAGGTAGCCCCCCCGGTAAAGACTGATAAAGGCTGAGTGGAAGCTGTGGTCAGTATCAGGGCAGCAAAGGAGAGCCCAGAGAGCCGTGTGAGTTTGCAGGGGTGAAGATGAGATAAGGGAGGGAGGGTTAAACAATGAAGAGTGATCAGGCTTAAGACACAAAGCGACATTTGATGCACTGCAGAAGTATACTGTCTTTTGATCTTCTAGCTATTTTTGACGAGAGGTTTTTTTATACTTCTACTACTTGCGAATCATTTTTCTGGAAAACATGGTGTTCAGTAAACCTGAAAATATCCATCACTCTTTGGGATGTCGAGTTCATTTGGTTGCAATTCAGAAATTTCAAAATGATATCAGCAAACAAACAGCAATTTCCTCATCGTCTCACCCGAAGGTGATGCAGATGTTTGAAACCTCAGTGCCTACTGCACGTATCAGAAACACTAAACATTTCATCTTGATTTCTTTTCAGTGCCACCTACTTCCTAGAAAATTTGGAAGCTTTGCATTTACCACTTCAAATTCTCTGCCAAGTTCCTTTCAATTTCTTTTTTGCTCCATTTTTGTCTCACACGTTTATTATATGGTGACAAATGCAGTTTTCTTCTGACACCACATAATAGATGTGTGAAACACACACACATGTTCTAGTAAGAGACTGCTCTTTATTTCCTGGCTCCAGTTGCAAAACATGAGTCAGGGTTAGAAAAGTTGTACCTCTGTCAGAGATGTGTAATCCCCATCCTCAAACTTTCCTAGCTTTTGCTACAATAGCAGGGAAAAATGGCAAATCTGGTTCTTCTATTTCTAGACTCAGTGTTTCCTCCTCCCCAAGCACATCTTTTCTTCATTTTATAATCACCATTCCCTTGTACTGATTATATTTACTCACTTCAGAGATTGATTCTGTCATTAACAGGAAAAAAAAGTCCTCCAGCTCCTAAAGCAAGTATACCAGCACTCTAACTGCGGGAGGTACAGCAGTTTTAGAGAAAGCATCTTCCTACTATTCTGGCTTTATGCAAAGAAGAAACATTACTAGTCCATTTGCTGTGAACCCCAAGCACCATTTTCTCCGCGTCAAGTGATATCTGATGTTCTGCTGTATAATTGTAGGTAATGACCAAACAGCCTCCCAACAAGGCTCTGGTGACATAACATGCCTTATTTATATAGACCAGATTTAAGTATTCTGTACACTTCTGCAGTGTGGAGGGGGCCTCAGTGAAATACAAAACCAGACAGATCTTTTGTGAACTGAAGTGGAACAAGGCCCACATTACAAGTTAAAACAAAACCAACCAAACAAGCAAGGAAAAAGAGAAAACTGAACACATTATCACTTCCTACTGGATCCAAACAGGCTAGGAATTTCACGTGTGAGGCAGTTATTCTGCAGTTACCCACGTGTGACTGGAAACAGCAGGAACTATGGTGCTTTCATGTTAATCATAAACAGAGTTCTGTATTGAATTTTTTTTCTAAATCATTTTATCCCACAAGGTCCTAGTGGTTGAGTTGCTCCTGCAATAGAATGACAAATAACTGGGTGACATGCTGTGAAAAATTTAGAAAATGAGAAATGCTATCCCATTTTCCGAACAGAGCAGAAACAACACTAATACCATTAGGCAAGATGGAACAGACAATTAAACTGCGCATGCTTTTAATTTTGAAGCTAACCAGATAACTGATGCCTTTTTCAAATGTAATGACTATTGAAGTGATTCCTTTAACATGAAGCAAACCCACTGATTTTCCTTTCTAAAATTAAAGCATTTACCTTATACAAAGTATAAGAAATGTTACCTGTTGCCTCCACCATTCCTTCTAGGATTACAACAATTTCTAGCTCCTCTTTGGGCAACTGGGCTTTGGAAATCTCCCAGAAAGGACTCTGCTGGTTAATTTCATGGCTGATGATCAGTGGTGAAACCAAAAAGAGACGATCATCCCCTGTGTAATAACCTACGTTGATATCTGTCTGGTTGAGTGGTATAAATTCCCCCTCCTTTGTCTGTTTGGATTTGATCAACTTGGCTCGTATTGATGCCTCTACAATGTGTGAATTCCTAAGGTCTCCTACTCGGAACATCAGACACAGCTTTCCATCCCGCATGGAAATAACTGCGTTTGTAGAAAAAACCAAGGTTTCTGCCCTCTTCTTGGGTTGGGATATTTTCACAAACATGCAGCCAACCATGAAAGCGTTGACGATAGAACCTAAAACAGACTGCACTAAAAGCAGAATAATTCCCTCGGGACACTTGTCCGTGATGACCCGGTAACCATACCCAATGGTGGTTTCTGTCTCGATTGAGAATAAAAAGGCTGAGACAAACCCATTGAGGTTGCTGACGCATGGGGTCCACGTGTTGTCCCCTATATGATCCATATCTCCTCGCATGTAGGCAATTAGCCACCAGATCATTCCAAAGAAGAGCCAGGTCACAGTGTAAACCATGACAAAAATCAACAGGTTGAACCTCCACTTGAGATCGACTAAGGTAGTGAAGATGTCAGTCAAGTAACGGTAAGTCTCTCTGACATTCCCATGGTGGACGTTGCATTTCCCGTCTTTCCTAACATACCTCTGGATTTTTCTCTTGGCACATTCTTTGTTTATATTTTTTGGCAGATCCTCTCTAGCTTGTTTGGGCAACTTTGGCTGATGAATAGTGACAGGGCTCTCTATGTCCTGCTCCATTGAGTCTTCTTCCAGTACGTTAGCTGCCATTAAAAACAAACAAACAAGAAAAAGGCAGGCATTATTTTTCTTATTATTTCTCTAAGTCAACACACAACTTCTTCCTGTATTGCTGGCGTGAAATCGCTTTTAGTCAATAAAATTATCATCCTAGTTTTTTGCTCACCTATTAGACACACAACACAAAAATAAAATGATGCCAAGCATCCTCAATTTATTGATAAATAGAAATACTTTGAAGGAAAACTCTCTTTCTCATTTCCTATCTATCAGGTCATCCTATTTACACCCATATTTAAATTCGGCAAGATGTGTTCAAGCAGATCTTTCTTCCCCCTGCCCCCCTTTATGGCTTAATAAATGAGGTTTCTTATTCACCAAGAAAGGTCTTCTGGGAAATAGCAGATATAAACGAGGAAATGGATTCGCTTGGGGGTTTCAGTCAACAAGATGAGCAGAGAAAATGAGCAATTGTTGAGCTATTTTTTTTAGCAATTGCATTGCTATGGGGAAAGTATTAAATAAGTATAAGGAGTTTAAAAAACCCAACATTTTTTAGAAAGAACCAATCTTACCCTTGATGAAGGAAAGGCAGGCTTTAGTATAATATATACCAAGAGCAATTCAAGCACATTTCCATAGAAAATCAATGTCTCGCTGATACTGTGTCCTTCTCCCAGTAACATAAAACATACAGTACTTCAGAACATTATTTCATTTTAATTCAGTATGCCTGTGGCCTTTAATTCAAATGTGCCTTTTTCTCTAACTCTGTGGGCCTACACAGCATTCCCCCGTAAGTATCTTACAAGAATTTAAAAACCAGAAATGACAGTAACTGCCCTTTTTTGTTTTTTTTTTGGTTTCCCAGCCTTTTGAGATAAATAGGTTCATTGCGTTTATGTGCAAGAAAGAAGAGTTTACTGAGGAGGAGAGTGGTTTAATCGAATGGGTTTTGCATGAAGCTGAGGACCCAGTGTGGTCTGGGGTAACTGTTGTCTTTTTACTGGAAACCCTTCTGCACTCTGGGGCTTGTTCCTGCAGGAATCTCAGCTCTTGAACTCCTACTTTTCTCCCTTCTGGCTAATCGCTATCATTCTGCTGCCAAGCTGTGAAGGGAAAAGGCTTCTGCTGGCTCTGCCTAGACGCTTGGCTCTGAATATAGTAGCACTGATGTGACATTGTACCATCGGTTTACGGAGATGCTCTTCCTGAACAGTCAGGGCGTTGACCTGCGTGTTGTCGGTGCTCCCTGCAATGGCCACAGTTTACAATAATGTACTGCGGTAACTGCAGTGCAGGCTCAGGTGTGGGCTGCCCAACCCTGCTGTGCAGGGTAATGACCTTCGAGCAGAGAGCTGGGAGCAAGCAGCTTGAGCTGGGACTTCATTTCCTTGAGCTCCGGTTGCCTCCGAGTACCTCTTGCCTGGCTGGGAAATGGGAGCATAAACCCATCAAAGTTTATGGGTTTGACACAGCAGTCCTGTCTCTGGCACCTCATGGGCTTGGGTGTCTCCGCCTGGCACTGCCCTGGGTAGTAAACCCAAACCCTTTCACATGGAGGAGCTACCAGGGAAGCCTTGTCCAGAGAGAGGGTTGCACAAGGGGCTGCCCTTGGTGGGTCAGTACGGCTCGAAGAGCATTTTAGTCTCTCACTCTTAGAAACATGTGCTACATAGCAGATCATCTGTGGAGTCTCACAGCACTTGTAGCTTTTTCAAGATGTGCAGACTCATCCCTGTGGAGAAAGATCACAGACCCTTGTAAAGTTTTAGGGATGACTGAAATACCCAGGAAAAAAAAAATGGGTTGGAGACTGGTTGTCTCTTCTTCTGACCGGCTCCAGTGCCAGCCAAGCCTCTGTTCAGCCCCATAGCCTTTTCTGTGTTAAAAGAAAGGCTCAAAGGCCGACAGCAGCATGGAAACCTGCTAGCAGTTCTGTGTTTAAAGACTGTGCATTCCTGTGTCACTTTTCCAGTTTGCTGCTGTGTCTAAAGAGAGCATTATTCAGGCTGATGGTAGCGGCAGCACTGGAAGTCGTGTCACAAGGCAGTCAATTCTGAATGAACTTACCCCAGCTGGTGACAGTGTGCCTACTTGCATTATCATTAATGCTATGTAATGTATGATGAAATAAACACAATAAAAAGGTATTGCAGGAACTTTGTGAGGCAGACTTAAGCCAAAGCCAGAAAATTTGAAATTAAAGTTTCACACTTTGCGCTTAACTCTTTATTGTGCCTAAGGAAACTTCAGTCCACAGGAGCTATCACATCACTGCAGTAATAGATCCCTCAAATACTTATGAACAGCCTAAGACGACTCTGGCTTTTGAGACTTTAATGCAATGTATGTTAGACTAGTAATGTTGGTTTAATGTGGTTCATTATCTTTAAGGCATTATGAATATTTTGCTTTCCCCTCCTGGTTAGAGCCTGGCATGAACACAGAGACAGGGTGCAGGTGTCCCCTGTTGCCTTTGAGAATATACCTTACTTCTGACCTTGCTATTACAGGCAACCATGTCCTAGACCTCCCTGCCGAGGATCTTTTACCAGAAACAGCAAAGCTTACTAAAAACCATAACAGGTCTGGGAGGGGACACAGGTGCTGATTTTATTAGTGGCATCAGGAGAAATCTGAAGGGACGTCCCCGTCCAGGGATGGCTACCCGTCATATGCTGCACCCATCTAGCCTGCTTTGCATACGGTGTTTATTTTCTATAGAAGTACTTGCTAGCAATGAAGCATCTTTTATTCATACAACAAATTTTAGTGATGCTTTCAAAACACTTTGTGTTGATTAAGCCCTTGTGCATCATAACCAGCCTTTCCTGTCTTTTATAGTACATGACCTGACCCACAAAGAGAGGTAAGGGCCACATTTTCTCAAGCGGCCATAGGTTTTGTAGCAGGAGCAAGGAGCCACTGTGCTCCCCAGCACATGGAGGTGGGCTGTCACTGTCACTGTAAGTGCGCTTCAGAGACCTGCCCCTTCCAACATGGGAGAATTTTTCTTAACTTTGAGAGGTCACACCGGATCTGACTCCCATCTGGATGTGTAAGAGGGTAGCTTTGGACAATCAAATCCAGTGACTGTATTTAACCTGTCTTTCTCAGTATAGCATTTCGCTAACACTCATGTGGACATTCTAATCTCCCTGGGGGCATCTGGCTATTTTATAAACTCTTTAGGCTCTTCCCAGTGCTGTCATTTCTCAACTCTCAGGTAGTCTCTGAGAGGAAAAATTAAGGTCAAGTTTTTAGTCTTTTT